GAGGATCATAAAGTTGTTTATGACCTCGAGGAGGGAAAGTCACAACGCGAATATACAACTACTTCTACTAGCAATAAGGAATGGAAAGCTTCAAGTGATTTTCTTGAGCACTCAAAGGAGGTTATTGATAACATGACATCTATTGAAGGCAAAGAAGAAAATATTAGAAATATCATTATCTGTTTGTGTTCAATAGGATTTTGCATGAGTAGTTTGATGAGAGAAGTAAAAGACTTGGAGAAAGGTGTAAAAGAATTGCTGAATTGGGAACATCCATAAATAGGTGATAAAATTCACCAGTGTTTTACAGGACGGGGCATGAGAGGAGACGTTTTATGCATTACACGGCTAGATATAGGCCTCGAGATATAGAATGTAAGTCTCATGGATCTATGAGGTGTAATCTCATGTATATTTAATTTTATAATTTTATTACTTAAGTTAATAATCAATAATAAAACTTTCAATAATTTCACTAAATTTAGTAAATAAGCTATAATATATAGAAAAAAGTATTATTGTTTTTTATTTGAGATGGAAATTAATAGATAATAACGAAGGAAAAGTATTATAATTATTATTTAAGAAATATCAATAATAAAAAATGTGATTTAAAGCAAAAAAATTCAAAAAAAAAAACACCCTTGGCGTATGTTTTTACCTCGAGCTTACGTGTTTATGCTCAAGAATTACGCCTCAAATTCTAGAACCTACGTCCATAGGATCCACGTCTTCAATTTGCATCTCGGGTGTTTTTATACGCTCCGCCCCGAGACTCGCCCCAAAAATGTTTTTGAAAACACTCAAATTCACTAATGATTTTTGCAATAATATTCCCACACTATTTGTTTGTGTTATTTTGGAGCTGATTTGAAATTTTGAGGATTAACAAATTTTCGGATCTAACAATGGTCCTGATCAAGAAAAGACTGCGTACGTGAAAAAAGACAAGACAATTATCTAAAAAGCTACCCAAACTGCCAAAGTTGTTGGGGTTGGTGCATGTCTTTTCATAACGGCAGGTTCTCAGACAATGGCTTTGCCCTAATGGTTTGTGTCCATTTTATACTAGTCCTGTCTCCAAAGACACACCTAAGTTTTGGAATAAAGTTTTAAATTCTGGAAATTCATAAGCTCTAAAAGAAAAAAGGCATTTTAATTCAAGGAAGAACTATGTTCATACTCAACAAGGGATCTGATGGAGTGTTGAAGCGTCTTTTGTTATATTTTGAGCTTTGTGTCTTGTGTTCTTATATTGTAAATCTACTCCTAAGTTATAAAGGATAGTAAATTTGTTTTTTGTCTAAGTTTTTAGTTTGAGTCGTATTAACTTGAGTTAGTTATTCAAATCATCTATGTTTTAGTTAAGCCTCTTTACATCCTTGTTGTGATGTTCTCTTCGGTAGAGTTTCTGAGAGTGTCAACTAGAGTTAGTTGATGTGTAGCAGAGTCGCTTCTCTTTTATGTTTCTATCTTTGAGATTTTTAATCGGTGGCTAGACTTAACCTTGTTGGGTTCTTGAAGTCTAGATCAACTACAATAATATAGATTATTTCTTAGTTTCCTTTGTTGTAGAGTTGCTACAATAATGGGGAAGGGAATAAGAGTTTAATTCCTAGGTTACAAGAGTTTGTAATTTGAAAGTTTGCTTTTTTTTTGGGTCGAAATCTTGTGAGTATGGGTCGTCATTTTCTTTTCCCTTGAGCAAGGAGATTTCACGTAAAATCTTTGTATTTGATTTACCTTGAGTTATTTTCTATATTATTATTCTATCAGGAACCTGGTCCAGTAATCATTGGTGGACGCATACATTCTAATAGTTAGTTGTTTAGGGTAAAAAAAAACTAATTCAAAGTATCCGATTTTTCAAATTCCATACATGTGCTATTTATCAAAACACGCAGCTCGATTATCCATTGTTCCCGTTTGAATCTTAAACTTCCATTTTTGATACCTGAAGAACGCCAAACAATAGATATTTCGACTTTCCATAATTATTCAATTAAAATAAAGTTGAATCTTTATTTAAATCCACATATTTTTATTTATATAATTAATGTGAACTTGTTCGGATACTTTACGTGTTCAAGAATCCAAACCAAATTTTCTGTAGCTATTCGCTAATTAAAATTGCATTTTCTAACAATGTTATTATTTATTGAATCATATATATTGTAATTAGTAAACGTCAAATTTTTTGTTATATTATTCCTAGAATAACTATTTTAGTAAATGATCCTCATTTTATAAGATATACTTTTAGACGTATGAAATCCCTTTTCAACAAACTGAAAACTTAGGAGTTTATGTAAGATCACGATCTAACATATTGTAAAAAAGATCTATTGTTTTGTGTGTAATGACCCAAAAAAGATGTTTGCATAAATCATCGATAGTGAATTAAACGGTAATTAAGCCCTATAATTTAATAATAGGACTAGTTTTAAATCTATATATATATAAATCTGGATATAAAAGTGCTGATGTGGCACCCCTCATAGATCAGCATTAGAATTTATATATTTTATCTTTTTTTAAAGCTTTTTTTTCTCTTAATTTTATCTTCATATATTTAGTTAAATTAAATAAATATCCTCTATTCATTATTTCTCTTTAAATTCCTCTATTAATACCTTTATTATTTTAGGTATATATAAGTTACAATTTATCCCTTTAAATATTTAAACCTTTCCCTATTTCTTCTTAAAAGTATTACTAAATTATAATTAAGACACTAATGACCAATATAAGTTATTGATTACTCCATTACTATTTTAATTTATTTATTCAATAGTTAAGAATTTATGGATTACTATAAATACTAAAACCATGTCATCTTCACCAATGCAAGAATTTTTTATTTTATTTTTCCTTTCTTCATCATATTTATACTAAAGTACATCACTTTGGTTATTTCTAATTTTATAATATATAGTTTATTTGTTACTAACTTTTACAATGTGGAAGATAAGATGAGCATTTGACAATTTTGGAAATTCAAATTCAATGAGAACAGTATCTAATTTGAGTTACCAAGGTACATCACTTTGATTATGTCTATTTATATATATATATATATATATATATATATATATATATATATATAGGGGGAGAGAGAGAGAGATTCTTTGTGACTAACTTCTATTGTTAATACTTAACAGTGTGGACGAGTAGACGAGTATATGACAATTTTGAAAATTCAAATTCAATTTTGATGAGTACAATATTTTACTCATGTTACTCTTTTTATTTCAGTTTGTTTGATGTCTTTTATTTACAATATTTTTTTATTCTTTTTTTTTGTTTTTATTGCTTTTTTCCTCATTATTGATGATTTTAGTGTACTTATTATTTTGCGCATTTTTTTTTAATAATCTTTATTATTTATAATGGAAGACAAGATGAAGATATGACAATATTTAAGTTTAACTTTCATAAACTCACAAGAAAAAGGAACCCTACATTAATGTTTATGTCCATTAATCTTCAAATGGTGTAAGTGAACATTGAGAGTGTGCACAAATTGAATAATTAGAGGCTAGGATAATTTTTTTTGGTATTCCTACAAAGATTATTTTGTTTATTTGTTTTATTTTAATTTATTTTAATTTTCTTTGGTACTCCAACAAGGATTCTTTGATTAATTTATCTAATTATAATTTATACCTACACTAAATAATATTATTGAAATTTCAGGTATATTAATTTTAACTTTGAAGACTTGAATCGTTTTGTTTATTATCTTTTAAGGTTTTTTTAATGGTTTCAACATTGTATATATTTTATTTTGAATAATGAAATCAATTTTGAGGATTAAGAAATTTCACAATTTTTATTTATGTTTACCTTTTAGAATAATTTAGAAATTGTAACTAAAATATAGGTAAGTTTAAAGTTGTATTTTAGTTAATACATATATATAATTTGAGTTTAATTTATTTGAATACTTTATATTATTTACGTATTTGAGACTATTTATCTTTCAATCTATTCATTTTTATATAAATAATAGGCAGTATATTATAATCGTAGTAAAATTAGTCAAGATAGAAAATGATTTACAAACATTTCATAATCTAAAATTAGTGATAAAAAAAAATTCATTACTAAAGAAAAGTATAATACTTTTGAAGGAAAAGAATAGATACTTGAAAAAAACTATATTTACATTAAGCTTATTATATTATTAAATTAAATTTAAATTTCATAAAGAGTTCAACTTATTACATTAAATTTACTTTTCTTATTAAAATAAAGAGAATAAATTTAGGATTTTTTTTTATAATTTCGAAAATTCTTAAACGATTTCAAATTACAAAAGATATAAAATTTAAGTTTTAATAATAAACTTAATTAAGACTTAAAATTTGATATATTTAGATTAAAGACTATAAAGAATCTTTAGAAATATATTTAGTAGTCAACTATTCAAAAAATTAACTATTTAACAAATTTAACGAGTAATTTTTTATCGCGCAAAGCACGACTAAGTTCATTACTATATATATATATATAACAAAATATTAGTTTATAATAAATATAGCATTGTTTTATTTACATAAAAAGGTCAAAAGTCGTGGGAATATACACCGTGCTACACTATAGCTAGTCAAAAGTCATGTAAAGTATATACGGATACGTAATAAGGAAAAATACATATACATAAGTTATACCATAACTCACCTCTAAACAATCCCAAATTAAATATATTACTCTAATAATAAATAGTTTCTTAATATAACATATCTAAATAAGTTTTCGAATAAATATGCGAGTACACATAAGCTTTCCTAATAAGTATCCAAGTAAGTTTTCAAATAAATATGTGAGTATAAATAAGTTTTCCTAATTTAAGTTTCCTAAAACAAAAATACTTTAGCTGAAACCCAATCCAAATTAAACTGGGAAGAAAATAGCCTCTATTAATACAATGCAAACTATAGTACTCTGTTCAAACTCAAAAATACTCTGTTCCTTAATTTCTTGATCGAAACGAAACAATGACTTCTCATCGTCCCTTCAATAATGGTAATCATCAACAACGAGGCTATAATTCGCGTAGATTCCCCAATTATCAGCCTCCTGGGCAATATAATCTCTATGGTTATGTTAATCCAAACGCATATGATGCATCGTTTGCTCAACATGAGCACATTGCTCCACAATTTAGGAATGGAAATCATCAACAACGAGGCTATAATTCGTGTAGACTCCCCAATTATCAGCCTCCTGGGCAATATAATCTCTATGATTATGTTAATACAAACGCATATGATGCATCGTTTGCTCAATATGAGTACATTGCTCCACAATTTAGGAATGGTAATCATCAACAACGAGGCTATAATTGGCGTAGACTTCCCAATTATCAGTCGCGTAGACTCCCCAATTATCAGCCTTCTAGTCAGTATAATCTCTATTATTATGTTAATTCAAACACATACGATACATCGTTTGCTCAATACGAGTACATTGCTCCACAATTTAGGAATGACACTCATCAACAACGAGGCTATAATTCGCGTAGACTCCCCAATTGTCAGCCTTATAATCAGTATAATCTCTATGATTATGTCAATCCAAATGCATATGATGCATCCTTTGCTCAATATGAGTACGTAGCTCCACAATTTAGGAATCGCAATCATCAACAAGGAGGCTATAACTCGCGTAGACGCCCCAATTATCAGCCTTATAATCTCTATGATTATGTCAATCCAAACGCATATAATGCATCATTCGCTCAACATGAGTACATTGCTCGACAAGTTAGGAATGACAATCATCAACAACGAGGCTATAACTCACGTAGACGCCCCAATTATCATCAACAACGAGGCCATAATATGCGTAGACGTCCCAATTATCATCAACAACAAGGCTATAATATGCGTAGACGTCCTAATTATCAGCCTTCTAGACAATATAATCTAGAAGATCATATTAATACATACTTATATGGTACATCGTTTGTAAATGCCTATAGGTTTCAACGTGTAAATTTAAGGAATAGAATACTGAATTTTCGAGAGAGGAATTTAAGATTTCGCTCTCTTCCTCAAATTAATCATGAGGAGCAAGAGGATGATTATGTTCATGTACTGAAGTACTTGAAAATAAGAACTCATCATGCTCCCCAAGTTGTAGATCCTGATGTAGAATCAGTTACCTGTGTTATTTGCCAATCTGAATATGAAAACGAAGAGAGTATAGGAGCGTTGCAATGTGGACACGAGTTTCATACAAATTGCGTCAAAAAATGGCTGATCAAGAAGAAAGATTGTCCGATATGCAGAGCTTCAGTTTTGAAGAGGCACATTTACCCAATGTGGTGATTATTTTGTTTTGATTTTAGTGAATTTAGGGGTGTTCTACTTTGAATTAGATTTTTAGTTTGATTTTGGATTTAAAAAATTATTTGTTTAGTTTTTTGGCTTTATTTCGGATCTAGAAAAAAAATTAAATAACCCAAAAAAAGATCTTCTATGTGATTTCATTTATATTTTATGTTTGAACATCTATAATCTATTTATATTAAATGAACATTATCGAGATTTGGCTTAATATTTATGGTACCAATACCATTCTATCTCATCACTGTAGTAATTAATTTCACTGAGGTACAAACAATTGCACATGTAATTAATAAAATTGACGTTCCATTAAACTAAATGAACCAAAGCAAACAGATTTCATACATAACATAATTCATATCTATGGCTAATGTAACAAAAGTTCCTCAAAAAACTTTGCAATAGAGTTTCTACATTGCTCGTTTATTTTGATAACCAAGAAATCCTCGAGGCTAATGAGGACTCAAAACTCGATGGATAATGAGTTCGCCAATCTAGTAACATTAATCTACTCAACCAAATCACAAGCAGATAGAAAAAAGAAAAATGTTGGAGTGGAGCCAACAGTTGATTTTGGACATCCTCAAAATGAACCAAATCACAACATCCAGAGGAAGAGAGTTCCAACAGCTAAATCAATGATGTACAATGATACCAGCATGTATTATGTAGGGCATTCCTTTGAAGCAGTGTATAATTTGAAACAAAACGCCGAGAACATCTTTTCATTGGATGAAAACGAGTTAGTATGCTAATCCCTCATCTGCAAAATCAGCCCTTAGCAATAACTGGAATACATGTTCTCAAGGACAAACAGAGGATAAGAAAAACAAATAGTAACTAGTAGTATCCTTTTTATGATTAAAAAGGTTCCCGGCCAGCTTCTGAATCGACAAAATTTGGGTCATACATCTCATATTCATAATCTGCATCAAGGTCCTCCATGGTTCTGCCAAATACAAAGTGTTTTGTTCCCATTGTTGTAAAAGGCATCAGACCAAAAGCTCTGGCAGTTTTTATCTCCCTGGCGATCTTTCTTTGGGCCTTGGCACTAATTCCAGTCTATACATGACCAAAAAGAAAAAATAAGAAATTGACATATTTAATCGTCAAAATTAGTAGATGGATTTGATTACTAACCTTGCTCCTCTTGTGGAGAATTCCAGCCTCCGTGATGAAGTTAGCTAGGAATCTCACATTCTGCATTGCAAGTTAGTTAAAGGTATAAATCAGATAACTTCGTTAAGAGTCAGAAGGTTCACAATGGGCCAAATTTACAAGACAATACTTGGGAGGAAGACACCACTTTTATGTTTATAAGCAACATCCAAATTCAGCAACAATAAACTAAACAGCAGAGAGACTTGACGCTAAGAGTATCAAATAAGCAACGTATGTACTCGAGGGTGTTTCCATGTGCAGACACTGGGGTGCATATATAGAGACATTTTAAAGCCATGCGTGGTCAAAGTAATGCAGAACCAAGAATACAAACCCTGAAATCAGCTTTGCGCAAAACTTCCTCTGTCGTAGTTTCAAATTCATCCCTTTTTGGGGGCCTGCGAACTCCTGGTTTTCTAAGATCAAGATCCTGCATGTTAATAACAAAAAGCTTAGAGGTGGACCTGACAGCACCATAGGAAATACAGAGCAAGAGGACACGTTGAGCTATGGCAACAAATTAACGTCATCCATAATTTTGCTCTTGCCACAGAGAACAAAACATGAAAACGAGGTGTACTAGGAAATAAGCACTTAAAGAGTATACATTCTAGCAGGCCCAAACAATTGAATGTTTGATGGAAGCTGTTGAAACACCAATGGGTGCAAGATATACAAAAACCACAGTGAGACATATCTTCTTATGGAATTGAAACTCAATATGCTAAAAGCATACAAGAAATGGTAGCTCATTAGTCATACCTTGAGTTCATAAGTGTTTCCGGGCCAAAAGGTCATATCTGCTCTGTAAGCATAATCTTCTTTTCCTACTTCTTCAGGATCCACCTGAAAATAGCTGGCTGCTTCCTTCAGCTTACCATCCATCCCATCTGATAATGTATTAAAACTCTCATCTAGACCATCAAGGATACTAGATCTGTTTCCAGAACTAAATGTGGAGCCCAGACCAGATCTATCATAAGACTTTTCAGCGTCATCAAGCTTTCTGAAAAAGGAGTTTGGACTTGGCCTGTTACCCGCACTATCACCAAAAATTCGTCTTTCAAAGTCCTCAGCAGACTCAAACGAGTTGGTGCTTTGCTTATCATCAGGGGCTGTGTAGTGATGAGGAAAGTTGTATCCATTACCAGAGATGTAGGTAAAAGAGAAAATGCATATACATGAAAAAGGTGATGATGATCAATGATGAAGAAGCATGTAACTACACAATAAAGAAGAACCGGACAAAGCTAGAGCGTCTAAAGATGAACATTAGTAATGTCGATTAGGATTGTCCCATATGAAAGGCACACAATTTGAGAAGGATTAGTGAGCCAGTAAAATACCATCTAAGAGAAGCTTGACCATGTTACAATTCTTTCCACTATTCAATCACAGGATGCATGCTCAGCTGTTAAAAACTCCTAAACAACTTAATTATTTTTATTGAGAAATAACTCCTAAACAGTTCTCTCCTAAAACAGTTTTTTTCCTGAGTGATGTTGGAAGATATATGGGGACAACAAGTACTGCCAAAGGCTCATTTACTACGCGAATTAAGCTCTGAAGTTCAAAAGAGTTCAAGGAGGGCATTTCGTAGCTCAAATTGAGCTAAGGAGTGCACAGTCCTACTAAATTCGAACACTAAAAATGAAATTTCTGAACAACGATAACCGACCAGATCTAAATATTTTGAGGTCAGCCACCTCCATTTATAGGTGTTAAGTCAATAGAACATTACTGAACAACGATAATAGGATTCAAAATAAGCTCAATAAAACTAAATTTGCAGATTTTCAGTTGCTAAAACTACAAATTAGCATGATAAAGGAAGGAATTGAATAGAGAATTGATTAAATAGTAGTACCTACCAAAATTCGGAAGCGCAGAAAAAGTCCGATGATGAGAAGAATAACGAGATAGGCAAGCATTGGCAGTCCTTAAGACACCTTGAGCAATCTTCATCTTGGCGGCGACGGCGACGGCAGCGGCGGAGATGGAAAACGGATACGCCGATTTGGTTACTATTTGGAAGATGGAAGCGTAGTGTGCTGTTTATGGGCTTTGAAAATGGGGCTTTGGTTTGTGGGTAAATAATTGGGCTACATAAACTCAATTTTGAGGGGCTAAACTCTATTTCTTATCGAAAATCATGCCAATACAATACTTAATCTTGATATATATATATATATATATATATATATATATATATATATATATGAGGGAAAATTGTATAAAATAGCAAACTAATAACCTAAATTAAATTGAATAGCTAGGGTTTGATTTAATTGTGCTCCATAGCAAACATTGACAAAAATTTGTCAGGCGTCTCTCTCCCAGAAGTCTCGCTCGCCACTCTCCCATTCTCGCCTCTCTCGCTTTATACACAGAAGTGTATAATTTCTGTTTCTGTTTTGTATAAAGCGAGAGAAAATTGTATATACACATATAAAAATGTATATCTTCGTGTTATACACTTAATTATATAATTTACAAACATTTTACTTCAAATATTGCAGAGAAAAAGGCCAAAGAATTATACAATTGTGAATTATACAATTGCAGTGAAATACAATTTTTTCTAGCTTTATACAACAGAAGTGTATATATTGTGTTTCTGTTTTTGTATAAAGCGAGAAAAACATATATCTTCTTGCTATACACTTATAATTATGCAATATACATACATTTTAATTCGATTCAACTGTATGCAAAGCTAATTATACAATTGCAGCGAAATAGGCCAGCGAATTATACAATTTAGGCCAGCGAATTATACACTTTTATATGTATAGCGAATTATACAGTTTTTATGTTTGTTATGGAGCGCAATTATGCAAAGTTTGCTATATTATACAAATATGATTTTTTTGTTTGCTATATGTGAAAGTTGCCATATATATATATATATATATATATATATATATATATATATATATATATATATATATATATATATATATTCAAAATAAATTTACATATTTGTTTCACAAATAAACTTAGATATATGCGTATGTATATTAACCGCTAAAAAAATATGTATGATAAAATTACAAAATCATTAAATTAGATAAAGATCATCTGAAATACATAGGATAAAATTTAAAGAATGTTATGATTTGAATTTATTTGAATACGTTTTATATAGATCTTCAGGTCAATTACAAGTCATGTCCTAGCTTTCTTTCCTTATTTTGTTGCACTCATTCATTTCGAAGTTTCATGCCCTAAAGTAAATGGCAGATGCATTAGTCAATAAATATAATATTCTGGTGAATAGAATAAGATACACCTATCACATAATAAGAAAATGTCTCAATCAATAAACTTTAGAATCAAAATATTGAATTGGTCAAGAATATAATAAATTGGAAGAAAATTCATATAAATAATATTAACTAATTGAAATTTATTTTTTTTCACTAAATTTTCATTAAATCCGAGAAGAGAAACACAAAAGTTAAATAATCCTTTCAAAAATAATTTGAAAAATATGCTTTTTATAAAATTAAATGAGTAGAATGAATTCACATTAGAGAGTAAAAAAGAAATACAAATTGTGGCTGCTGGGATTCGAGCCCAGGTCTCCACGGCCACAACGTGGAATTCTTACCACTAAACTACAGCCACAGGATGTTTTCAAATTTGTAATAGTTGATAGAAATTTCAAGCTTTTATTTTATTGATATAGTAATATATATCTGAATTTGATTCTTATTTTCATTCAATTTATTTCTCGTAGAAAAAAGAATATTTGTTTTCCTTGATTAATTCTGATATTTCTATAAGACCCTTCACGTTATTACATCTTTTTAAAATATTCTTATAGTGTGTTTGATCAATCTTTTGGGAAGTCAAAAGTGTTTATTTTGAAAAAATAGGATATTTAATCAAATTTTTACGAGAGTGGTAAGTGTTATCGTAACATGCAAATGTAATTCGACCACGCTCACAATCCTATCCGATTTATGATTCATCCTGGGTACAAAATGCTCCTAAACGAGTAAAAGAATGGGTAACAATAAACTAAGATCGGAAATCATTGATTTTGTTAAAAATCATCAGTTGAACAAAAGGTGTCGTGGTGTAGTTGGTTATCACGTCAGTCTAACACACTGAAGGTCTCCGGTTTGAGTCCGGGCGACGCCAATTCTATTTTGTGTAAAATAGACAATTCTTCTTTTTTTTAAAAAAAATAAATTAATATTCGATTAATTAAACAAGCTAGAAGGTAGCGGAGTGCTGTTTTGTTGTTCGAATGTTTAGGTTTTTTTGGTTCATGTAGTTTTTGCATTAATTATTTATCATCATATATAGTGTTTCGATTATCACATTATTTTGTTGTTGCTACTGTTCTTTTCTTGCATGGGTAGTAGTAAGGTTCTGTACTTTACCCTACCCATATCCCACTTATGACATTCATCGGGTATATTCTTGTTGTTGTTGATTACATATTCGATATTCGAAATCAATTCAAATTTGAGCTCTTAGGAGAAACATTCCCTACCTAAGAAATGACTAAAAAAAAAATATTGAAACTTGTCACCTCAAGCACTTTTTGAGATACTTGTTACTATAGCAAGGGATTATCTTATAAAAAGAAGGCCTGTGGTTTTGCCGTATTTGTGCAGTGCAATTATTCAAACAAAGGAGATTCATGAAGTTAATCCCCTTACTCTGATGATGTTCAGAAACTGAGGAAGATTGAATATGAGATTGTGGAGCATGCAAACACAGTCGTTTGGTTTGGGGGATAAGATATTAAAGTCGTGGGAATATATCGAGGATAAGTTTATCCCATATGTAGAATTTTTTATTCAGAATTTAATCTGACAGAACAGGCATAAACCACCTTGGTTTCAAATAAGGACTAGAACAATTTGCTTGCTTTCAGTTCTTGTTAAAGGCAAAAATGAACAAAAGAAAAGGTCAACAAGAGGATGTGTATTTGCATATATATAGCATATCATTACAATACATGCTATTACTGATGGATTGCAACATAAAGAACAAACTACACCAGAACTTGATCAAACACTTTACGCGCAAATTAATATGTTATGCAGCTGTATATAACACAAATAAATGGTACACGATTAAAGACGGTCACCTAAATACACGACCAAAATGCAGAAAAATAGTAAATGCAACTATGGTCATTACAAATCCAAATGTAACCTAAAAGTTGTAACCTTGAAAAATAATGGGCATCAGAACAGTTTGTTCTGTTGCCTTCGTTCCTTGTTTCTTTTACCTGAGAGGCAATTGACCAATCATGTTCGTAATGCTACATACATCAACAAGTTTCAGAGACGAATCCTTCCAAGATGTAAATCTTGATGAAATCAAATTTGGAAGGGAAAAGAATTACCAGAAGTTGTGGCATCTGCTACTCTTAGAGGAAACCTCCATCAGTCCATTTGGACTCTGATTTTCCACCATGAGCGACATGTTTATTGTTAGGTGCCCTTTGGAAATTATCAAATCCATCATCTTTACCATCATCCCAACCAGCCCAGCCATCGTCATTACTGGATGTGGCCCCTCCGGTAGGATTTTCTTTCTTGTTGTCTTTACTATCCCAGTCATCCCAGGACGCTGAACTGACCGCATTGGCCTGCCTACCAGATGATTGTGCTCCTCCAGAAGAATTCCATCCTTTAGATGCCTGACTGGATTCCTTATAATGGCCGTTTCGTTCATTTTCACTTCGTTGCCAGCTATCGTCCCTCGGGTTTGGACCCTCAGCAAATTCCTCAACCTTCTGTGAAGCTAAAGCTAAGACCCCCTTCATTATACCCCAGCCCTTCTGTCCAATCTCAGTTGTTTTTGTTGCGACAACATTGACTGTTTCATTCATCTTGTAATCATAACCACCCTCTGCCACCTGTAAGAGTTGGATTACACAAGCATCTTACTGAACATTCATAAATTCCAGCCTCTTTGCTCAAAAGAACTTGGAAAACAATAGCGTTGAGAATACAGGCTATATGAAAAAAAACTTAAATGAAGACCGGAAAAATACACAACTAACAGTACTTTGAAAGAGAGGGGATGAGACTCCTACTCGATTGAAGTATACACGACCAGTAAATTGAATATTATACGTTTGACAGAAATTCTCATCATTAGGAGAATTGAATAATCACTACAACTTTTAAGTGATTGGAGAAGGATCAAATACAAACTAACCTGAAACTTTTTTCTTTTACAACTCCAACTCATAATATGAAATAATTGAAACATATAAAGTATAAGATACCAAAACATCTTATAAATTTGTATGGTCTTGGGGTGTCTCAAGAGGTTAAGACTAAAGAAGTTTGAGAAGATATCAAATAGCTATTAAACCAAAATTTCTCTGGCTTAGTACATGTAAGGGGTTTACCCTCTTTAACACATTTTGAAGTGTTCTATGAAGCTTTAAAGTCAGTAAAGCTCACAAAATCAATGTAAAACACAGCATGAGCATGTTTCACTCAATCTATCCTATCTCTTTCTAATAATTATTCAAATTCTGTCTGATCTCATGAAAACTAGACTCATAGGCTATAAGTTTTAGGAAGAGCATCAACCATTTCTCCCATTTACTAAACCAAAATTTGAATTGAACCGGAGCATTATGTGGTCCGACCCTGTGCATGTCCATATGAAAGGTTACTAATATATCAGGATTCGAATTTATAAGATCCCACAGAAAATAGATATATAAGGCTATCTATATACAAAAACGAAATACCTATTGCAATCTTATACCATATTCAAACTTAGGACGTCAGTCTTAGTGAAACATGTCTTAATATTTAGTTGAAGGGGATTTTGCATGCAACATCATTCAAGAGTTACACTGATAATCCAATCTCAACATTTGGTCCAAAAAGAAAAAGATCTAATGTCACTTTTCAATTCTCTGATATTAAAAGAAATGGGGCGCAGACTGATTCATGAAGCATCCCGCATTCATGCTAGATGCATGTCAAGCATATAAGTTAGATACATCACAAGAATTAGGTTGGTACACTCACAAAATAAACAAATTATTAAATAAAAGTTCAAGATACAAAATAGTGGTCGACCGGAAAATATTCCAAAATTACATGTGCGTGTGTATGTGTGAGTGTGAATCATGTGGAAGTTCCAACCCCTTAGCAAAAGATATTGGTTGCTGATAATGCAAATGTGATAGTAAATAATTCAAAGATTAAACTTCAAATGGCCATCCATTATCGCAAAACATAATGCTCAGTAGCACATTACTTAGGACTTGGCATTTTACAACAAAGAGAAGTTTGTAATGCAATTTGCCGATTCACTTATTAGCTCAGAAGGCATCTCCAAAAAATCATAGGATCACTTAGACCTTCAATTAGGTATAACAATCAATTCAAAGTACCTTAGAGCCAATCTCTTTTGTCCCTGCTTGAACAACAGTTGCAGCAGACTGTGCCGCTGAGGCTGCCATCATAGATAATCTACCAAATCCCTGCACACATAAAGAAGCAACCTCATCAGCTATACGTAAATGATTTTTGACTCTTATATACTGAAAGGTTCATTTTCTACAGTATCAGTCAGTTATAAACCAATGATGGATAATTCCCTACATTAAGCACAACTGCATGACCGAGAACATAAGATAAGTAACAGGCTAAACAGGTGAAACACTGAAACTATACTGATACTGCAAACACAAATTACTTTTGATGTGAGTTAAATCCACATAGATAAACATAAAACACCATAAGCCCCATAGAGACATGATTAGCTCAACCTTTATACCTGAGTAACAGCAGAAAAGACATCGCCTTGCGAATTGTTATTATTATTCCTAGGCATTGAGCCAGAACTTGATCCAAATCCAACATACTTCCCTCCCTGAGAGGGCGGAAGGCCCTCCGGCCGGGAGTCATTCTCAGCCATTTTCCTAGCAAAAAAATTATCTTTATTCGCAGCGGACGCCTCATACTGCGCCATTGTAACATCATCTGTAGACCTCGACCTAGCAGGCCCACCATCACTACCTCCACCACTCCTAAAATCACCCACCGTCTGATTTCTCCTCATGCTACTGTTACTATCGCCACCTTCATCAAAACTATCCCAATTATCCCAACCAGAATTTCCACCTGAATTTCCAATTCTACTTCCACTCAACGGAGGTCTGCTACTGCTGCTATTAGGACCTTTTACAGATTCCTTCACAACAGGTGGATCCTGCCAAGGTTTTCCCTCAGCCAGATTTTGAATCCTATCACGGTAAACAGAAGCAGATTTCGTATTGTATTTGGTCACAATATCAGTTTCTTTAGGGATTCCATATTGACTCATGAATTTGTTCAACTTCTCATTACCTCCTAACTCCATTTTCCGGAGCTGGATCTCGGACCATGAGTCCATGGTAACGGATCGGACGAATGAAATGTGAACACCTAGCCCACGGTGTTTTCCGGAGCATTCCAAACACATGAAAACTCCATAGGAAACAGAGGCCCATTGTGGATTCTTCTGAGAACAATCGACACAGACCTTGTTACCGGTTTGTGCTTGGAGATCCCGGAGACGACGTGATGCCGCCATTCTATCGGTTCGGACGGCCCGGATCCAATACGTACGTCGGATCTGTAGAGAGATCGAAAAATGCAAAAATTGAGAGAAAGAGAAAAATGGAGTGATCAGAACAGGGGAGGAGAAGCTGTTAAAACAGAAAATGGCGAGGAGGATAACGGCTGGTTTACAAATAAGGCTATAATAGTAAAAATAAAACAAAAATAAATTTATATCTTCATGTGTGCGGCTTAGTTTTGCGAGAGGACATATGTCAAATTTTCTGAATAGCAATTCAAATAATCAGTCATAAATTTACAAACTATTTTTAAAAATATTACGGATTTTATTATTAATTAAGACTTTCCTATTATATATATATAAAATATTTTATTATTAGATATATTAAAATAGGGAGAGAGGCGAGGGGGATGGAGCGAAATACTAGAGAGATTTATTTATTATACATATATATTAGATATATGCTAATTACACTAGATATACGTTATGAACATGTATTCATATGTATTTAGTGTGACTCATATATATATGAGATGTCATATACATAGAAGATTGGTGAACGAAATGAGAGACAGACAAGTGAGATTTATTACGTGTTTCAGTTACATGTAGATTCACTTAGATAATGTGTATCTTGAATAAATTACACCTACTTTTGATCATATGTATCTAAACGTATTTGAATGTATTTGGATAAACCAAAATTTGATAAAATGCCTAATATTACAAATTAAAGTATTTGTAAACAATCAACTCTTAAACTAATAAAATTATTCGTAAATAATTAACTCTTGAACTAATAGAATTTATATAAGTTTGAATGAAGATCATTTGAACATTTTTCTAATAAAGATTATTGATTAATTCTTTTCACGAAAAGGTTAAATATGTAGCTTCTTTAATTATTTGAAAGTTAAAATATAGTTAGTGGTTTTAAATTAGTAAATTTTAAGATGTTAGCATTTCTAACAAATTATTGTAAATTTATATGTTATAAACACTTCATAGAAATTAGGCATAATACATAAATGTGCCCTTTAATTTGGTTTCAAATTATATTTGTGCCCTTCAACTTTGGAAGTGCACAAATAGACACTTAAACTTGTATAAAGTCGATCAAATAAACACACATGTCCTACATGTCACCTTTTGTCCTACATGGTGTCCTACGTGTATTGTACCATGTAGGACTCATGTGTTTATTTATTTAAAAATTGGATAGTTAAAGTGCTTGTTTGTGCATTATGAAAGTTGGAAGTTAAAGTGAAAATGATCGGAATACCATTGTTATCCAAACAAACAACAACAATACAAGAAGAAGATCACCAACACACTAAACATGCAAGTTTTGCTTATGGGTTTCTATGAAACCAAATTACATTAGAACAAGATTGACCATTACTACCCATATTCCTCATCTTAAGTAGCAAATGAACCACAATACCACACAAAAAACCCAATGCAGCACTTGACCCAACTAATGAAACTGATGTGCAAACAAGCACCACAAATGCCTCTTCTTTAGTGTTCATATCTCTTGCACACATGGCCAATTCAATCCCAGCAAACAACAACAGAACCCCTAAAACCCCAACAGGAAATTGTGTCAAAACTTTCACCATTGAACTCCCTAAAACCAACCCCAAAACCAACTTAGCCACACCAAGAAGTGCCACACACCCACCACTCCTACCACCAAACTTGTATTGCCCTGCTAACCCACCTGCACCATGACAACATGGCATTGCACCAAACCAACAACCTATTAGATTCATCAACCCCACCGTCATCGACACCGAGGTAGCTGTGACTTCCCTCTCTGGAAACAAATCTGTTGACAGTTTACACACTGCAATCACAGAGTTAAGTACAGATAAAGGTAGTTGAGGTATAGTCCCTTTAATAAACCCTTGCTTCCAAGCATGTTTTGATATACTCATTACATCAATTCTCGATGGACCAAATTTAAACCCTTTTATTGCATTAGGCCCTCTTATAATAGCCAAAACAACCCCTAACAAAAATATAAGAAAAGCTGATGGAAGTGAAAATATGATTTTATGAACTTTTTCCCTGCATCCTGATTCAGGATTATCGACGCGATCATCATCATCATCATCACCAGCACCATTAACAATCACAATAAAAACAGCACAAATTAAAGCTAACAACAATCCATCTAACCCTACCCAATCCCTCTGCCCTCCAGATTTTGATTTTGCGAAATCCTGTACATTTTTAATATACTTAACTGCTGTCATTGCGAACGACAAACCTTGTGCAAGTTGAATTCCTCTAACAACTGAAATTGGAATCAATCTATACACGATCTGCATCAATCCGGTTACGCCTAATACGAACAAGATCCCGGCGGTGCAAATTCCGGCAGCCATAACTTCAGGTATGCCGAAATCCGGGTTACTGATAGCTACAGCTGCAATTGATTTCATTGGCTGAACAGGCATTGGTACACCATAGATAGCACCAGTTACAAAATTGTATACACCAGTGAAAATTAGTGTTGTCCCTAGATTTAAGTGACTGGCTAGGGTTAAAGCTAAGACAATTGGTATGTATGTGCCTAAATCACCCATTGCACCATTCAATTCAGCCCATTTTGATTTGAATACCAAATTTTCCTTCAATTTCAAAATGAAATTTAGCTTAGGTGCTTGAGATTGAGGATTGTTTTCTTCTAGTGTGGAGGACTCCATAGTGATGAATTTGTTCATATGCAAAAACATGTACATGAATGTATATATATAATTAAATGGAGAGGTAGCAGTTGACTTGCAATAAAGAATCAAATAGGGATAATAGTATTTTTGACACTTTCCATTTGAATAAATTTGGATTTTGACTAGCCTCCATCAAGTGGTTAAATAGCTCTACCATTGTTATAGATTTGCGTAAAAAGATAAATAAAAATAGAGATAATGCACAAGTACCATTTCAATTTATGTCCTAAATTTTAGAGACACACTTATACTATATTAAGATCCTATTACTCCTGATGAGGGTTAATAGGAACTTAATATATTATAAGTTCCCCTCAACCTATCGTCGAAATTCCAGAGACACACTTATAATATATTAAGTTCCTATTAACCCTGATCAGGAGATAATAGGAACTATAAGTGTGTCTCTGGGATTTCGACGATAGGTTGAGGGGATAGTTGTATATTTTTTCATAAGAATATTATTTATATTTCTGATAATGTTGGGTAGAGAAAGAAGATAAATTTAAATTTGACATGTAAGCTCGAATCAAGAGGTCGAACACCTCCACCATCACCTCGTAGGTTGAGGGTTTGAGAGATAAGTGGAAACATGATTGACATTCTTGATAGGGCGAGGTGGGAGAAGAGAAGATAAATTTGAATTTGGATTAATTAATATTGCTAACTAACTTTCTTAAAGAGTGTGTTACATTTCAAAAACTCATTTATTTTGAAATAAAGAGCATCATGTTTAAATTTCAACTAATTAAAATCTGTGTTTTATCACTTTAGGTTAGAAATTTATTATGTTTAAACTATTTTTAGAATCATCAACTATACAAGCTTAAAGTAATAAATTGATAAATAAATGACGGAACGATTAATAATTTGTTAATTTGCACAATTAAAGGGATTAATAGTGCATATTTCAACTAATTAAAGGTTGAGTTTACGATAATGATAATAAATTTTAATTTCACATAGGGTCGGTAGAAGATGGCGTGTATAGTATTACTTCTACATCTTATAAAGGTAGAGAAATATTCGTTCAAGTAAAACATATCAAACGTCGTAAGTATAGAAAGTTGAAAACAAAAGATAAAAGGAGAGAAACAAAAAAGAACAAGTATAATAAAATTGAAAAAAATAATAATAGGAAAAACTAGATAATACTCAAACACAGATTAACCTTGTATTCGTAATGCTCACCCTTTTGTGCCCTCTTATTTAAGATCATATCCTTGATAAATTAAAAAAATATCATATTAAATTTCACAAATATAAAAATTAAAATTTAGTAATAACTGAGGGAGTAAAATTGCTACTAATCATTTTAAATAAGATATTACAAGGGAAGCAAGCTAATTAATGTCAACTTAAAGCATCAAATGTCCCATCAAAGTGATGAAGGGCCATCATAAGATCCCAAAAGAATTAGAAGAACTGATGAGAGGTTGTTATACAATGAGAGATATTTGCCTCTAAATGTGGAGAAGGCATTATTCTTGCTTGTAAGTATCAAAGCTAATTATAAGGAATTTTGTTTGATAGCAAAGTTCAATGCAACAATAAATAACAACTATTTTTTTGGTTAAAATTGTAAACGTGGCAGAAGAATGATATGGTATAGATTTATGAGTTAAAAGTTTTATTCAACGAATTATTGACATAAATAGATTATTTTATAAAATAATATTAAATAAGTCTAATTATAAAAACATAGGTATCATATCTTTTCAATCGAATATGCCGTATATGATTTGTATAATGTGATTTATAGCAATAGCAGGTTACCATGAAGTTTTTAAAAAAAAAAACATTGACAAGATAAAATAAGAAACGAAAAGGGTCAAAATTGCCCTTAAACTATGTGAAATAGATCACTTATACCCTTCCTTATATTTTGGAATCAAAAATGTGTTTGTTGTTATCCTTAAGAGATCACATATGCCCTCAAGAGTAAATATTCATATTTTTATTGACTTTGGTAAGCCACGTGGGACTAATTCTTCCACCTAAGCATTGTCAACTAGGATTCACTACAAGAACTAGACCTTTAGCAGCGATAATAGTCGCCACAAAAGCCCAAAAAATCGTCACAAAAACTTTTTAACATTAAATTCTGATTTAGTGTTTTTTTCTTCATTGTTTTACAAAAAACAAAAATGATATCGATTAAGTAGGAGTTTAAAGACACCGTATGTTTTATTTTTATGCTATATGTAAATGTATAAAATGTACAATGATGCATTATAAGTAGGAGATGTGAATTGAGAAGTAATTTTCATGATT